TTAACTAAATGTCTGTTGATGTGTTATCTAAGCACATGGAACAGGCTGGTCCTTACAAAGTGGCCTTTTAGCATTTGGGTAGGGTTGGAATCTACATTGGTCCACAATAAAGCCTGGGGCTCCCCAGAGCTGTATTAGATGTGTGCCTCATCCAGAGGAGATGGACACAAAACATACCTCCCATTAGCATCTTGGGTCAGGTGGCAAAGATCTATAGTACAAACCAAAAACGGTGTAGAGGGTGGTGTGGGTGGACCTAGCAACAGATCTGGACTAGTTTGAGGTTATCAAGGAAGCTGATGAAGCAGCCCCACCTGCTGGTGTCTCCAGATATTGTTAAGTCATAGGTGATCACAAATAATAGAAATAACGGTTCCTGTTTTGAATAAAAAGATGCTTGATTTTTTAAAGATGGATTGAAAGATCTTTCCTCCTTCCCACTCCTAAAGTACTGGCTCTCTGGGTGAAAAGGGCACACCCTGCTATCTTTGTAGCTAAGCACGGTGGCACCAAGACTGTTGTTGAGCTCTCAGGCCCCACTCGTCCCTCTGCCCTGACCAGTGGCCTACAGCAAAGTTATCCAATGGGGGCCTGCCCGTGTAGCTGGCAAGACTCCTTGGGGCCACAGGAACCAATTGTTAACCAAGTAAGTGAAAATGCAATACAACATAGACAATGTTAATTTGTGGTTTTCTAAATCAGTATGCAGCCAGCAGGTATCCATTGTTATTTAAGTTTGACACTACTGGCCTACAACAATATGTTGGTGAGTCTTAGGATAGGAGCGGAGAGCAAGCCTTCTTATTCAAATTTTAATTTCTCAAGATAAAATATATTTGTATTGCTTTGGATACTATCAGATCAGACCCTGATCAGAAAGGGTAGCTCTGGTGCTGTGGAATGAGCATTGGAGTTGTGGACAGAATTTCTGGAAGTCTGTTAGCTTGATAGTCTTAACCACCTTGATGAGCCTCCATTTCCTCATCTATGAAATGGGAATAATAAGACCTAGAGTGTCTGCTGCACAGGGTTGTTGGGAGAGGACCAGATGAGATCAAAGACTCATCACGTCTTAGTATTAGAGAAGAAAGAGACCTCAGGGACTTTCTGGTCCAGCTCCTTCATTTGACAAATGAGGAAACTGAGGCTCAGAAAAGTTAAGAGCTTTGCCCAGGTCACACAGCTGATGTCTGAGGTAGAATTTAAATCCAAGGATTCCTGACTCCTGACCCAGCAATTCTATTCCATGTGCCATGCTTTGCAAACCTCAAAGTGCTACACATTTTTTTTATTATTATTGTTGGTGTTGTTGTTGTTGTTACTGTTATTAGTGTCTCTGTCAGAAGAAAAAAGCCACAGGCTTAGTTTCTGTTCATTGTCATTCAAAGAACAGAACCTCATATTTGCTTCTGCCTTTTTGTCCCTGACCTTTTCCTTTAGCCTCCCACTGAGATCTGCATTCTTTCTGGATGGGAAATGAGGAGTTCAGGTTGTCGGTGTTACCTCTATTTACCTCAGTTCTCCCAATCTTTCTCCCAACAAATATGTGGATTCACATACAAATCCCTTCTGGTTTTAGCAGGTGTCCTAAAATAGCCATTGAAATTCCTCAGTGCGGAGACTTTTCAGGGCAGGGGTGGGGGGGTTGTTCATGAATTAGAAGTGTGCAAAGTTTGTTTTTTTAGAGAAACTAATAACAAGACTTTTCAGATTCAGGGGCAGTGTTTAGAAAATTTCTGTCTTTAGCCCAAGACAACAAGGTCATGGGTGGGGAAAAGAAGGGAATAAGCATTTATATAGCACCTACTGTGTGCTAGTCAGTTGGTCATTCGGTAAGCATTTTATTAAGCACCTACCGTGTCCCAGGCACTGTGCTAAGCTCTGGGGATACAAAAAGAGGCAAAAGACAGTTTCAGCCCTTAAGGAGCTTAATAATTTAATGGGGGAGAAAACAAGCAAATGAATATGTACAAAGCTAGCTCTATACAGGACAAATAGGAAATAATGAACTGGAAGGCACTGGAATTAAGAGGGATTGGGGAAGGCTTCCTGTAGAAGGTGGGAGTTTCATTAGGACTTAAAGGAAGCCAGGGAGATCAGTAGGCAGAGAAATGAAGAATGTTTCAGACATGGGGGACAAGCTAAATAATTTTTTAAAAATCTTATTTGATTTTCACAACAAGCCCTGAGAGATAGGTGTTTTTATTAGTTCCATTTTACAGTTGAGGAAACTGAGGCAAACTGTTGAGTGACTTGCCCCAGGGTCACACAGCTAGTAAATTTCTGAGGTCAGATTTGAACTCAGGTGTTCCTCACTCCAGGCCCAGTGCTCTCTGCACTGTGATGCCACCAGCTGCTTCTGGTTATAGTCAAAAGAGCACCAGACTTGGGAATCAGAAAGCCTTGGTTCAGGTCTGTAACTTAATTAGCTTTGTGACTGTGGGCAAGTCATTTAACCAAACTGAACTTCATTTTTTTTTTTTTTGGCTAGACAATGGGGTTAAGTGACCTGCCCAGGGTCACACAGCTAGTAAGTGTTGTGTGTCTGAGGCCAGATTTGAACTCAGGTCCTCCTGAATCCAGGGCCGGTACTCTATCCACTGCACCACCTAGCTGCCCCCCAAATTGAACTTCAATTTGTCATCTACAAAATGGTAAGAATAATATTAGCACCATCTGTGTTCCAGGGTAATTAAAGTGTTTTATAGTTTATAAAGTCTTATAGAAAATGAGCTCTTATTATTTTGTAGGGCAAGGCAGTGTGATATGTAGGGGACAGAATTAGGAAGACCTGAATTCATGTGCCACCTCGCTTTGAGATACACCCTGGCTAGGATCCTGAGCAAGTCATTTAACAGCTACCCCCCCCCATCCCTGTGCCCCAGGCAGCTCCCCATTTTGGGCTTCAGAGCAAGGGGTGATCTCCATTGGTGAGATCTTTCTCAGGTAGTTTCCTACTTATAGAAGTTCTTATCCAGGGATGGGGAACCTGTGGCCTTGAGGCCATATGTGGCCCTCTAGGTCCTCAAGTGTGGCCCTTTGACTGAGTCCAAGTTTTTACAGAACAAATTCTTTTATTAAAGGGATTTGTTCTTTGAAGTTTGGATTCAGTCAGAGGGCCACACTTGAGGACTTACAGGGCCACATGTGTCTTCCAGGCCGAAGGTTCCCCACCCCAAATGAAATCATAAGTTATATATGAGACAGAGAGAGACAGAGACAGAGAGAGACAGAGACAGAGACAGACAAGGAGAGAAAGACAGAGACAGACAGAGAAGAGAGAGTGTGAGAGTGTCCTGGAACTGGAAAGGACTCGAGACCATCTTATGCAGGGGTTCCTAACCTGGAGGTTATTAACTTGATTTAAAAACTGTACTTTGATAGTTGCGTATTTTGATAACTTGTTAATCCTCTCTGCTTTACTTTATTTAAAAATCATATTCTGAGGTAGGGTCTGAAGGGACCTTTCCATTTCTCCCCAGTGCTTAGCACAGTGCCTGGCATATAGTGAGCTAAGAAGTGGAACATGTACGGACAACTTTTTCTAGGAGTTTGACTACAAGAGGAGAAGGTGATGGCGGTGGTGGTGATGGTTCCGGGGGACGGAAGGACACTAGTGATTGTCTTTTCAGGGTGGGAAAGCCTTGCGTGTGTATTTGAAAGCGGCCAGGCAGGAACCAGTAGATAACAAGAGAATGCACATTGGGCAGGAGGGATAGCTGTGCAGATAATCACCTGGAGGTGACAGGAGGAAATAAGATTTATCAAATGAGATTAGATTTGTGAAGCACTTTGCACAGTGCCCAGCACATAGCAGGTGCTTAATAAGTGCTTTTTCCCCTGCCCCACATGATGAGTTCGCTTTAAAGGAGAGAAGGGTCATGTCTGTTGGAGACTGGAGTAAAGGATTAAAGAATGGGAGAGGATGTCAGTGGGTTTTGAGATGCAGAGAAGGGGGCAGAAGAAGAGGGAGCTCCTAGGGAATGGTTTCTGTTTTTCTCAGGAAAGTGTGAAATGAGGCCCTCAGCTGAGAGGACGGGGGAGGGGGCTGAGATAGGAGGCTTGGGGCATCCTCTGTGGGGAGTGCCATAGGGAATACAGATATTGCCCTGCTGAAGGGAAGGCCCAGTTGGATTTGGATGACACTGATTTGTAGGGGCTCCATCTGCTTGATTGTATGATTTTCTCCAGCTTTTGTTCATCAAGAGAAGAAGCAGATGGTAGGAGTGATCTGGGGGTCTGGTAGAGTTTGAGCACTGGTGGGGGAGGGAGCAAAGGGACTGAAGTCCTGAGGAGAGTGTAGAGTGAAATGGTTATGTGTGGGATTGAGATTGGGGAGCAAAGACAGGTGAGCGCAGTGGGGCTGGCTGGGAGGGTACACGATGGGGAATAGACACAATGGGGGATAGATGGGGAATATGAGAGGCACCCAGGAGGTACCATAGGATCCGATGTAGACTGCAAGGGTCCCCAGAGGCCATCTAGGTCAGTCCCTGTATTTTACAATACAGAGACAGAGAGAGAGAGAGACAGACCGAGACAGAGATGGAGCGAAAAGATAGAGAAAACTGAGGCCCAAGGACATTTAGTGGCTTATTCAGAGTTACACAAGAAGATGTCAAAGTGGAATTTGAACCCAAGTTCTCTGAGTCCAGAATCAGTGTTCGTTTGGTACAGACTGAAAATTAGGCTCAGAAGGACAGACAAATGCATGTATGTATGTATGATATATGTATATATGTATCTATCTATCTAGCTAGCTATATATCCATGTGTGTATGTATGTGTGGCGGATCCACAATGGGATCTCAAGGAGGAAAATGCTCAGGCTTCCCTTAGGTGGATATCAGGGAAGACAAAGGCCCCAGCCCTAGACAAGATGGCTTTTGTCAGAGAAAAGCATTGCTGTGCGCCATCAATGGCGGTGCTCTTGTGTGGCTAAAAACGAGGTCAGGATGGGGATGGAGGCCTGCCCTCTGCTGACTGCTCTTTTGTGTTAGTTACAGGACCCTGATCAGACCCACCTACAAAGTGTCTTACCGGACCGTGACAGCTCTGGAGTGGAAATGCTGCCCTGGGTTTGCTGGAAGTAACTGTGAAGAGGGTGAGTGATGGTATTGGAATCTGTTCAGGGGGAAAGTATGGCGGGCGGCAGGGAGAAGGCAGTGAAACCAGTCTCTGCCTTCCTTTCCTTTTCTTTCCTCTCGTCTTGGGTGCAGGTTCCATTTTGGAAGTGTATATTCAGTTTTCTACTTTTTTTCCCCTCATTTTGCCAACCAATTCCAAACCAAATGTGTGCTGGGGGGCAGGCTTGTCCCAGCTGAGCCGACCCCGTGTGCAGGCCTGACAATACCATCTACAAGCTGACTCTGCATCCATAAGGGTGCATATAGGCCAACCGTCCTGTCAAGGTGGACATTCCACCCACTGCCTGGAGAAGGCTTGGGAATAAGGGGAGAGGGTCAGGGAGGCATCTAGAGACCTCCTCACAAGGGCTTCCCGAGTCCTTCTAAGAGTCAGAGGGAGAAGGCCAAGGCCACGGTGGAGGTCTGTGACTGAATTGGTGATGAAGAGATTCATATCTCAAAGGGATCAAAAGACCTTTCGCTTTTATTCATTCTGCAATTTACCTAAATCCGTGAAGATGCAGGGGATCCAGTGGGAGGGATCTTGTGTGATGGGAGTTATCAAAATTGGTACCAGGGAGGTACAGGGGTCAGATTTGGCAGTGGAGGGTGGTAAGTGGCTGGCATTAGTTAAATTTGTTTCACGAGTCTGCAGTTTAATTAATACGAGGCATGAGGTTACAGGGGTATTCTTTGGAATCTTTGGAATCATTCCCATTTGACATCTTTTAGGAATTATTGTTGAGGTCTGTGATTCTCCCTGAGAGGGCAGGGTGTGGCCAGGCGAAATTGTGTGGAACTCAGTAGTCCACAGTTCAGGCAGGAGTGATTTCCAGACTTCCGGTTTCTGAATGTGGGTGAAGAGGTTAATAAATTTTAAATACCCTGTGGGTCCTATCCTTAAATAACCTCATTATGCTTGGATTTTTTGTTTGGCAATTATTAGTACAAAAAAAGAGATGTGTATACAATAGAAAATAATACACATATTTTAATGATTGATATATATGTTTATGTGTATGGTTTAAAAAGCCTGTATATTATGAAGCAGCAATATGTAGTGGGTAGAGGAATTGAGAATAATAATAATAACTATCATGTATATAATACTTTTGAGTTTCAAAGTACTTTACAAATATTAACTCATTTTTATTCTTCCAATAATCCTAGAAGATAGGGGTTGTTATTAGCCCCATTTTACAGATGAGGCAGATAGAGGTGTAGTGACTTGTCCAAGGTCATGTACCTAAGTAAGTGTCTGAAGCCAGATTTGAACCTGGGTCTTCCTGACTCCGGGTTTATGCTCTATTCACTGCCCCACCTGGCTGCCCATGAAAGATCTGTACTCAACTTCCACTCTGACACATCCTGGCTGTATGACTCTGGTCAAGTCATTTAACCTCTCAGTGCCCCAAATAACTCTCTAAGAATTTAAGTTGCATTATATGTGTGTGTGTCTGAGTGAATATGAGTGTGTTATATGGTTCAGACTTGTATTAGAGTAGGGACCTCCCAGTGAGAAAATACCCACTATCAATGCAAACCAGCATTATATTTTATATACATATCATATATATGCATGCATGCATATGTACATATTATACTTGGTATCCATGATGCCAATAATGTGGGCACTTCCCCCATGTCTTCTCATCTTTGGGTGATAATTACGGTGTGTATATGTGTAAATACACATATATGTACATGTGTATGTGTATTTATTTAAGTATAGTTTTATCAAATGAGATAATATAAGTAACACACTTTATAACCCTTAAAGCATTATATGCCTGTTAGTTATTATTATTATTATAATGTAGGAGTAGGGACTGGATGTGTGATTTCTGTTAGGATAGGGACTCCCAGAGAAGGAAAGTCATCTACTGGTGCAGATCAGACAGTTCTCCACAATTCACAGTCTTAAAGAGTTGTCTGGGGCACTGAGAAGTTATGTGACTTGCCCAGGATCACGTGGTATATATGTGTCAGGGGACTGAACTCAGGGCTTCCTTCTGAGCCTAGCTCTATCCCCTATGCTCCGTACTGTCTTAAGATTGCAGCCATTGGAAGAATTAGCAATGAAACCTTGACATACTCCATCTTTTTCCAAGAAATGGCTGGATTTTCAGATGCAAGTGGTCTGTATAGTTTTACAGGTGGGGATGATGATACAGCTGTACTTTCTGTCCTTCGTTTTCACTGGACTCCCAGATCAATTGGGAAGGGTGCTAACAAAGCAAAGCAGAAGGATCCAGGAAAATTGGGAGCTTGCTAATGAATTCTTGATGGAGAGAAAGATGGCTTCTGATCCAAACAGGTCCTTTTTGAAAGAGGGCCAGGGGTAGGAAGGGACAGGCGAGGAGGAGAATGACAAAATGACCTGAAAATAAGTGGGAAAGGAAGAAGAAAAAGGAGGTGAGGCTTTGTGTGATTCACAGCCCGCTGTCTACCATAAAGCCTGGTCCCACTGAATTACCACCTGGTGTTCTGGGGTGTTCAACCTGAGGAGATAATCTTTCCCATTTTATCCATCTACTCCTCAGAATCTACTGAAGGTCCTAAAATCAATGTTTTTTTTCTTTTCTTTTTTAATTTCATTTTAATTTTATTTTTTCACAATCATTATTGTTCCAGTCATGTCCAACTCTTCATAACCCCATGGGCCATAGCACACCAGGACCCTTTATTCTCCACTACCTCTCAAAGTCTGTCCAAGTTCATGTTCATTGTTTTCATGATACTATCTATGCATCTCATCCTCTGCCGTCCACTTTTCTTCTTGTCTTCAATCTTTCCCAACATCACGGTCTTTTCTAGTGAGTCCCATCTTCTTATTATGTGGCCAAAGCATTTAAGCTTCGGCTTAGGTATTTTACCTTCCAGTGAATAGTCTGAATTAATTTCTTTAAGTAGTGGCTAATTTGATCTCCTTGCTGTCCAAGGGACTCTCAAAAGTCTTCTCCAGGACCACAATTGAAAAGCATCGATTCCGTGGTGCTCAGCTTTCCTTATAGTGTCCAATTCTCACAGCCATACATTGCTACTGGAAAACAATAGCTTTGACTATGCAGACTTTTGTTGGCAAGGTGATGTCTCTGCTTTTTAGTACGCCATCCAGGTTTGTCATAGTTTTCCTTCCAAAGAGCAAGCATCTTTTAATTTCATGACTACAGTCCCTGTCTGCAGTGATATTTGAGCCCAAGAGTATAAAATCTGCCACTGCTTCCTTTATTTCTCCCTCTGTTTTCCAGAAAGTGAGGGGACCAGTTGCCAAGATCTTAGCTTTTTTTGATGTTCAGCTTCAAGCCAGCTTTTACTCTCTCTGCTTTCACCCTCATCAAGAGGCTTCTTAATTCCTTTTCACTTTCTGCCATCAGAGTGGTATCATCTGCATATCTGAGATTGTTAACATTTCTCTCAGCAAACTTAATTCTGGCTTTTGATTCATGCAGCCTGCTTTTCTCATGATGTACTCTGCATCTAAGTTAAATCAGATAAGGTGACAATATAAGGCCTTGTCATACTTCTTGTCCAATCTTATACCAATCATTTGTTCCATGTTTGGTTCTAACTGGTGGCTTCTTGACCCACATATAAGTTCCTCAGGAGACAAGAAAATGATCTGGTAATCCCCTCTCATTGAGGACTTGCCACATTTCGTTGTGATCCACACAGTCAAAGGCTCTGGTGCAGTCCATGAAACAGAAACAGACGTTTTTCTGGAACTCCCTTGCTTTCTCCATGATTCAGCGCAGGTTGGCAGTTTGGTCTCTACTTCCTCCGCGTCTTCAAAAGCCACCTTACTCTTCTGGTAATTCTCGGTTCATATCGGTCAAGCCTAGCGTGCACAAACTTAAGCGTAACTATGTGAAATGAGCGTATGTGTTTAGTAATTTGAATATTCCTTGGCGTTGCCATTTTTAGGATTGGAAAATCAGCTAATCTTTTCCAATCCAGTAGCCACTGCTGTGTTTTCCAAATTTGCTGGCATATTGAGTGTAGCACTTTAACAATGTCATCTTTTTGGATCTTAGATAACTCAGCTGGAATTCTATCACCTTTAGAACTAACCTTATTGTTAGTGATGCTTCCCAAGGGCCATTTGACTTCATTCTCTGGGATGTCTGGCTCTAGATCAGTAATCACAACATGATTGGTGAGTTTTCTCAATTACATGTAAACAAAAATTTTAACATTTGCTTTTTTTTAAATTTTGAATTCCAAATTCTCTCCCTCTCTTCTCACCCCCCTTCTTGAGAAAGCAAGCAATTTGATATAGATTATATATGTGTAGTCATGCAGTCCATTTCCATATTAGCCATGTTGCAAAAGAAAATAGACCAAAAAAAAAAGAATAATGAAGAAAGCTTAAAAAAGTATGCTCCAATCTGCATTCATATACCATCAATTCTCTCTCTGGAGGTAGATAATATTTTTCATTGTAAGTCCTTCAAGATTGTCTTGGATCATTGTAATTGCTGAGGAGAGCTAAGTCATTCGTAGCTGATCATTATACAATATTGCTGTTGCTATGTATAATGTTTTCTTGGGATTGCTTATTTCACTTTGCATCAGTTCATGTAAGTCTTTCCAGGATTTTCTGAAAGCATCCTACTTAACATTTTCTATAGCAGAATAGTATTCTGTTTCAATCATATACTACAACTTGTTCAGCCATTCCCCAGTGGATGAGCATCCTTTCAATTCCCAATTCTTTGCCATCACAGAAGTGCTGCTGTAAGTATTTTTGTACATATTCTTTTCTTTGATCCTTTTTCTTTGATCTCTTTGGGATATAGACTTAGTAGTGGTATTGCTGGGTCAAAGGGTACACACAGTTTTATAGCCCTTTGGGCATAGTTTCATGTTGCTCTCCATAGTTCCAAATTGCTATCCAAATTGCTCAATTCACAACTCCACCAACAGTGCATTAGTGTCCCAATTTTTCCACACCCCCTCCAATATTTGTCATTTTCCT